CCCACCAGCCACGTTCCCACCACCCACGACCCCACCGCCACCCCTATTCTCAACCCCATCCACGCACCCCCGCCTTCGTCATTGGCACCGCCAACGACCCCACCACCACTTACATCACCACCGCCACCCCCTGCTGCCGCTACCACTACCATATCATTGATCACTGGCACAAACGCCGCCTACAAGACTTCCCTCACCGCCCTTCGGGCCCGCTCCCGTTCTCGGCCACTCTGTCGGCTTCCTTGCTTGCGAACGGCGCTAAGTCCACGGGGTATTTGGCCAGAACGAAGAACAGTCAATGGTGTCTTTCATAGAGCTGGGAAAATATCTGCCCCAAATAAGCCCCAATATCAGTATAAGCAATTTTTTGTAAAATAAAGACTACTATAAATTCTTACTAACCCGTTCATTTATTCTTAACTTATTAACTTTTTATTTTTTTAACTTATTATTTAAACTATATATAGTTTTGAGGACGAGAGTCAAAGATCATGTGAATTATACTAGAATGCTGTAAGCAGAAACATTGAATCTTTGCACTACAATTATATGAAACATTTGTTGGTAAAAATTGGTTCTTTGTTATCTCAGAAGAATCAAAAAGACAGAGAAATATGTTTTTAGGCACACTGTAATACGTACCAATTTTTTGTCGTCTGGTTTACGCAATGTCCTCCGCACACTGTGAGCATTATTGGTTTTGTAAGTTACATGTTTCATTATTTTGATACATACCGAAACATTTCGTAATGAGAGGAATGGAAACTAAATATGTTGTATCTCAGGCCTTTTTCAGTTTTTATTTCATTCTGCACACGACAAATTGGAAACGGCTTCCGCGCGTTTTGGGAGGCAAAGAAGGATCCATTCCCTCATAGACACGAGAGCAGGAACAATTTATTTAGACGGGTCTCCATTCACTACTCCGAGGAGGTGAAGACAAATTGCCCCCGCAAATCGTAGACGCGAAACAATTGCTACAGGAGCAGTACACAGATGAGAAAACGGGCGCGCGGAAAATGAGTTGCAGAGAGATCTCAAAAACAGACCTACATTTTTTTTGCCCTTAAAATAGTAAACAACGAGGATTTGCTGATCCATTACGAACACGTCACGCGCAGCACCGCTCTATGCGACAGCAGCAGCGGCAGCCCATGTGGGCGCGGCGATATCTGGCCCGAGGCGCGTCCGCCACCGCGCGCACCGCTCTGCAACCGCTGGCGGCAGCCTCCGCGCCTCACCCCGCCTCGCTTCGCCCCGCCTCGCCTCGCCTCGCCGCCAAAGCTAATTAGGGATCGGCCGCGCGTTATTAAAAACAGGCCTCGGATCCCTCGGTCCGGTTTCCGCCAAAGCACAATGGGATTAGGCGCCGCGCGGGCGCGGGCGCCGGCGGGCGGGAGTGCCTGGGCGGGGGAAGGGTGGGTGCGCGGGCGGACGAATGGACGGACGGAAGAACGGAGGGGCCAGCGGAGTTTGGGCGGAAGGCGGGCGAGCGGGTAGGTGGGTGGGTGGGCACTCGGTGCGAGAATAGATGGGTGGGCCTTTGTGCGGATTGGTGGGTATGCGGGAGAGTGAAAGCGTGGTTATGTAGAGGGGGCGAACGAGGGAGGTTGGGTGGGTGCATTGGATGGGAGGTGGGCGGGCACTTGGGGGCATGTGTAGGTGGTTGCGCGGGCGAGATGGTGGTAGAGCGAGCGGCTCGGTGGGTATGCGGGTGCGCGGGCGGGCCTGCGAGGGAGAGAGAGAGATAGATAGAGAGGGAGAGGGGAGAGAGAAAGAGGGAAAAGGTAGGGAGTGAAAGATAGAGTAAGGAGAGAGAGCGACAGAGAGAGAGAGAGAGAGAGTCTGTGTGGGCGAACGGACGGTTGAGTGTTGTTAGTGGGAGAGAGAGAGCGGAGGAGCAGAGTGTGAGCGGGTGCACTGGGAGACAAGTGAATGTTATTTTTTTGGAGGGGAGGTAAAAATCTTCAAAAGACAAAGGTGTGTTCGTGTGTGAGAAAGAGAGAGAGACAGAGAGAGAGAGAGAGAGGGGGGTGGAAGGGGCGGCTGAGTGGTAGGGTGTGTGCGTGAAAGAGAGAGCGAGAGAGAGGGAGTGGGTGGATGGATAATGTGGGCGGGAGCGTGGACATGAAAGCTGGTGGGCGGGGGGCAGGAGCGTGGGCGGGTTGGCGGTCGCGCGAAACGGCTTGGGCGGGGCCGGGCGGGCAGGAAGTGTGGGCGGGTGGGAGACGACGTTCTCTTCGCCCTCCCGTTTTCCTTGCTTCGACCCACGCGTGCACTCACAAGCTCGTTTCGCGGTCGCTCCCGGTGAGACCAAACCCCATACTTGCAGAAGTTACGGCTGACGTGAACGTTTTTTTGTTCGTTTGAGGAACTCCTTAATTTTATTTCGAGAAGCTACTATACTTCAGCTTGAAATACGTGGTGCAGTCGCGTTATAATTAATGACGTAGGCGGTTTATATTAAAAGGGCATTTGAAACGGAGGAAGGTCCGAGTTTGAAAATAAGTGATAACAATTTTACAAGGTAAACTGGAAGAAAGGATTGGCGTATTCAAACTGTTTAGTTCAGCGACGTCGAATTGATTTTCTCCTTTCTCCTTTTGCCCAGTAATTAACAAGAACGCAAAGTGAATATGTGCAACATTCACCGTATTAATAAGTTCTCATATCGGTTCATAAATGTAAAGACTCGAGTGAGAAATGAATACTAATGAGTCCGTTTTGATTTTGGCCTCTAGAGATGTATTTGAGAGTCAAAATCTGTAGTGTTGCGCACCGACGTGGTGCCTGAAAAAGAACAACATAATTTAGTTATCTTGTTTGGCTGCATTTTGTCCTTCGAATGTTTGTTATTATGTACTATTACAATGATTTCAAATGAAGTACTTGTCATGTGAACCGTTATATCATATACGTTTGATCAGTGCTGATTTGTCAAATGTCCACAAACTAACTGGATATATAGAGACATGTATGTTTGCGATATCATGACACGATTAAAGGTAATTGCTACTTGATGTGTGCGAGGTTGAACAGAGCTGCCAATATTCGTATTTACTTTTCTTCTATAAATATGCGTATGAGTTCAAATAATCGTTAATAATACCTTTAAATTGGTAGACCCCGTGTGAACTTTCATTAGTATCTTAATCTCTGGTTTGAATATAAAAACCTATAAAATTGTAAATACATGGTTCTGAAAGAAGCATAAAGTTCTCTTTAAAAAGGTCATGACTTGAAGTTTTGAAAATACCACGATTAGGATACTCAACTGTGTATGAAAAAAAATCACACAGAAAAATCACATTTAAAAAAAGTGAGTTGTTATGTTTTAAGAGGTTTGAAGTGTTTCACAATTATGCATTGCATTTTTATGTTCCATTCAGTCCAACATTTTCCTTGTAAGTGTCCAAAATATTGTTTTCTAGGGAACGTTGTTTAATGTCTACGCCGATCTTCGTAGCACAATAGCTTGGAACTCCGCAAATCAAAATCGACTGAGGTAGTTCAGGGTAGAGCTTCAACTGCTGTCACTGCAGTGCTGCTGACTGGGATGACCAAGGGTTCGAAGACCGACGAAGGCAGCATTTTCAGTACCTAGTAGATATCTATGTCGAATATCGTCGTCTAAAGGATAATTCTAGCTACCGGCAGCTTAGATAGGTAGTTTTCAATGGTTTCTCCGATCAATACAAGGCAAATACCGGAGCAGTCCCCTAGCAAACGGGCCACGAACCGCGCGCAGTCTTTCCTGCCTCTTCCTCATTCTATCCTCACCCCTTAGACTCACTTACACTAACATGCACTACACTACCACACATGCCGGGAGACCGGTCGGGTGCTTAGGGCATATCTCGGCTGAGGTGTGCCCCACTGGTGAGAGGTACATGTTGACGTGTAGGTTGGCACCGGATCTCGCTATCCGGTTGAGAAGAACCTCGTCACGTCTTGAGATAAAATAATGCACTACACTAACGGGACTCACAAAAGTTGACGCACCAGTAAATACGCAATAATGAATGTATCAATCAATCAATCGATCAATTATCTATCATTTCATCCCTTACAACCCTACCAATTCAGTAGAAGGTCAAGGCAAATCGTTGCTTTTCTGAGCTGCTCACACTTTAACAAATAACAAGCTTCTCCCACGCTCGTAATGAAAAATGTCACTAATCACACTATAGCGCAAGCCCTTATAGCACGAACGCTATCGGTCGTAAGGTTTCGGGAACATCTGAATCTGCAGGTCTTAAAGAGATATAGCTCTTTCACCCTAAAATATATATCTTACGGTTCTTAGATCGTCCACATCCGGTAGTTTACAATTTTTGTGAGCGGAAATAAACTCACTATATTTATACACAACCCAATATAGTTATTTGTGGCGAAGGTATAGGCTATTCGGCTTGCTATTTTGCCTAACCACTTAAATGCAGTTATTTTTACGTAGATACAATTGAGGCGTTTGGAGTTAATATTAACTGACTGAATCATAACCCTCTTTCTCTTTGCGCAAACTAGTGAAATGCTTACTTTTCACCGAAGTCTCTGTTGTGAAATTTCTCCTTCTGTCCTGTATAAACGAGGTCGCTATGACTTACTGGCCCTAGCTGCCTCGGGTCGAAGGGTCACAGATTTGAATCCCGCCTCGGGCATGGGATGTTAGTGTATTGTTGTCCTTACATGTTCTTCCTACATTTGAACCAATCACAATGGTCGCTGTATGACCAAGTTGTTATAAAGCGATCTAAAAAAATACTTCTCTCCGTTGTGTGCTGAAGTTAAAACAATCCCAGTGGTCGCTGTATGACCAAGTTGTTGTACAGCGATCTTCTCTCCGTTGCGTGTACAAGTACGGAGAGCGAGACTCAAGCGCGCGGTTGTGTGGTCCGCAGGTGGCGTGGATCCACATCGACCGGCAGATGATCCTGACCATCCACCGGCACGTGATCGCGCGCGTGCCGCGCTTCAGCGTCTCCCACGACAACCACAAGACGTGGCTGCTGCACGTGACGGGCGTCCAGCAGGAGGACCGCGGCTACTACATGTGCCAGGTCAACACCAACCCCATGATCAGCCAGGTCGGCTACCTGCAGGTGGTCGGTGAGTATTGCTTGAACGACGTGTCTGCTCGCTGAAGGGTTCCAGTAGTCTCTGCTGCAGACAGACTTCAAAATGGAATTATATTTCTAGTTTTTATTTCCAATTTCATACTTTTCTTCTTCTTCCTTTTTTATACCGTATTAAAAATTATTAGTGACAAAAATTCTTACATTTTTCTTATTTCGCCAAAGAAATTTTAAAGAAAACCACCTCCGCTTTGGTACAAATAGTTGTGTGGAGCCTGACGTCGAGTGAGGGTTCTGCGAGCGAGTATAGAAACACGAACCTCCTTACGACTGCAATTCCCTACGATCGGTCATCAAGTCAGATCATACCATAATAAGTCCATTGTGACAGAGTTAGCTGGCACTATATTATTCAAGGAAGCTCATAAAAAATTCGAACGTATCTTTACCAACCCTAAAACATGCACCTTTTCATCATCTTACATAGTAATTATTAACTTCAGTCTGGCGTTGTAGAGCAAATGACGGACGCGGTTGAATTTTTTAAACGGACGAGATAGCCGAGAAAAACTACAAATATGTTTTCTTTAAATATGAAAGATAAACGAGTCGTATCCTCTTCACCTGCAGCTCATTTGTTTCGCCTTGTCTTAACGGACGACGAAGTGTTAAATTTCTTTATCGGTCTCATGCGTCTTTAACCCCTGTTAAGATGCAACCCGGCAGGTTTTTTCTAATTGCACTTGTACCTGTATGTTAAGAAATTCAACAGCCTTAGCAATAGATTTTGTCATCTTTTCAACGAAAATAATCAACCATAGATTCATCTCTAGTCAAATGTTTATTAAGAAAAAAACATGGCGTTATACAAAACAAGTCAGGTTCCAACTCTACAGAATAAAAGTAGCTCGTATTAGATTTGGTAATAATTACTGTTAATATTAATAGTACCCTTAAAATGTATAGTAGGTAAATTAACCACATTTTCCTGTCATTCCACTAAACGAAATTCTCTGGAAATCATATTTACAAATGATCTGAAGGTGTCGTCACTGACCGTCGACGCGCCAACTTCCTCACCGAACATCACGTTTCTTTAGGTTCAGAGCGATTATTTGCATCCATCTTTTCTCGAATCACGGAATACGAATATTGTTTAAATGGATATATGGCAAGCAACACCTCATAATATTATAGTAACATGCCGCAGCAACACAATTCATTTGTTTACTATCGCAGTAATACCTAAATTTTCGCATAAATCGTGAGATTTTATGGTGACCGATAAAATACTAAACAAACCACAAAATGTTACAGAGTGATTACTGCCCCGTTCCAATTAAAAACTCTGCTATGGTCTTCCTCGATTTTTAACTTTTGGCCTTTGGAGTAATAACACTCACAATATACCTAGGTATGTTAATTGCTGTAACGGATGCTGGCTGCAGTACAGTATTACGAAAACTACTTTCTCTTACCTTTTTGACCAATGTTGCACCTGCCTTCTGTTGAGTCTCCGGCCGGGCCTTACGTAGTACCAGCGTGGAGGAAGGGCTCCCTTCGAGGCACGCCCACCCCGAACGCGTGGCGGCGCGCGTTGCGTGGGTGGAATAGGAGATTTATTTTTCCCGGCGGGGTCATCATCGTTATCATCGTCATCATCATTAGTCAGCGAGGGTCGGGCCGCGCCGAACAGCACGTCAACGCGCCTTCTCTCCCGCTAAGTAATTGGTTGGCGCAAGGGATGTGCCGGCCGGCACGCTCCACTCAACCCATTAACGCCTTCGGAGCACGCCGGGAAAGTTTCTTTGAAAAGTTCGTTTCCGAGTACACGTGCACAGAAAAATCAGTGATAAATGCCCGTTACCAAAAATTATGTTAAATACGATTTCTAAACTGATTGCTTATTCTTCATCTTGAGTTTTTAACTAATTATCAGAATTTTACTGATATCTAATTGTGGTACACAACTATAATTGATTTAAAAGGACTAGGTTGCTAACCTCTCGTCCATGTTCTGGGATGTATTCAGAGACATCTGTGAAAAAACAAGACTTCGTGAAGAAATACAAACGTGTGATAATTGAGTTAAACTTAGTAACTTTAAGTGCAATTGTTCTGGTACGTCCGTTGCAGTGTTGGTTTTTTATGTAACCTCTACTTCGTATTGTTTTTTGATATTTCGTTTTGAGTGCAATAAAATGCTGCGTATTGGCTACCTAGTATATTTTCTCTAATATTAATCTAATTAATTATTTCTCTCAATAATATTAATTTCTTTATCGGATGCTAATCCCGACAACATTCATTAATTCATTGAAATATAGAATATTATCTTACGTCCTTCCTGTACTTTCTTGCAAGGTGCTTTATTATTTGTACGATCTTGAATGTCAAGAAAAAATTCTAGATATATTATATTGTATGTGACCTTCTTTAATTTTTTTTCTCAAATCGTGACATGTTTACTTCACTTTCTTTACTTAAAGGTACGATACTTTTCAACTGAATCCGCGAAATGTCGTCGGAAAGTAAATAGAATTACTCCTATTTCCTCCTTTAACAACCTACTTCTTCATCGGTCTTTTTAGTAGCGGCAAATTACGGCTCACCGGTGTCGTTTATTCAGCAATTCATGGCCCATTCAGGTATTATTATGCCCCAGCGAAGTTTCATAAGGAAGCCAAATGGAATTATGCTACTCCATTGGTCTCACTTCCCCGAGCCTTCGAGCATGTTCTTTCTGGCGTGTGTCCCTTTCAGGAAACTTAGAAGCACTCCCTCACCAGGATCTTTCCTCCAGGCGCCGTCTGGTGATAGCGCGGGCTTCCCGACGCACAGTGGGGGAGAAAGCGCGGAATTATGGGACAAAACGTTTTATCGAAATAACTGTCGCTCTTTACGAAAAGAAATGTTTGCGTTGTTCACTTTGATAGCATTATATTTTTGGAATGTTGTGTGTCTTTTTTCGGTGCGTTGAAGGGCACGTTTAAACGGTTAAATACGCTCGAGTTACGGACAGTGGAGACTGAATGAAACCACGGATGCTTGTGTTTGCCTCGTTGGGTGAAAGCGTATATGTGTAACTAACAGTTTGTGGGCGTTCAATAGGATAGAATTCTGTCTAACCTTAGCAATTATTTTAAAATTTCTGTTACTCCAAAATGTGGTAGTTATTCCTAAAATAAGTAGAATTCATTGAAGCTATTTAATATATTAATTAAAATGGGCGTTTATCATTCAAATTCGAATGCGTTCAAATATTCTGATTGTATTCTTGATGTAATTAGTTGTAAGCCAAAATATTTTACAATGTTAAAAATGTGTATCTGTTATTTGTCGTACAATGTGCGATAATGTTACCTGTAGTTACAGTTCATCGTAAAGAAAATTACATTTCATTAAAACTATTGAAAGTGATTTTCTTATTATACTGCTCCCCTTGTAGACACTACTTAAATGAATATAGTTTCTTCATAATATAACACTGAATGATTCATTGTTTATTTTTCGGTAGGTGTCAACAAAACTATTATCACTCGTTTCAATTTCACTCTTACAAATGCCCTATTTACATTAATTATAATATATGTGTTAATGTGATACATAATCTACGCCAGATACGAGCTTTTAAAACAGCCTTTCAAGGAATAGGCTGTAAAATTAATAATACAATAGAAACAGCCATAATAATAGGATAGAAAATAATAGATAACATATCACTCTGCAGTCAATAAATAAAATAAAATACAAATAAAATCAAATTACTTGTGAGAACTATTACTCCAAGTTCTCCGCTGCCTCGGGCGCTAAGCTTTCCACTCTTGAATAAAATGTTAGTTTACTCGCTTGTAGTATAAATTACTGTGTACCTAGGGCACGTTCGCGTGGCATTTGCCCCACTGCGCGGCGGTGGAGGCGGTCAGAAGCACAGCACGCCGCCCCTGCTGCTTGCGGCGGCAGGGGGTGGAGCGAGGGGGGGGGAGAAGGCGGAGAGGGGCGGGAGGGTGGAGGACGGAGACGGCCGCCTCGGCTTTTACGAGGGCGCGCTCGCTGGGTCTAATTCGGGAACGCAGACGGCCATCCCCGGCCCCTCCCCCGCCAGCGCTCGCCCGGTGGTGGCCGGGTACCGCCCGCTGCCAACCTTTCACCTGCGGCCCACCTCCCCGGCCCGCCCCCTCCTATCTGCTCTCCCCGCCCCGCCCCTACCTCCGCGTCGGCGTCGCGGGGAACGGCGCTGCTGCGTCGGTGGGCAACATCTATTTCTTCGGGTGCTGCGCTCACTTTGTTCGCCCGGTTTCCGTCTCGGGTCTTATCAGTTTTCGTACTTCTTGGTTTTGTTTTCGAGGCTACTTTCTTCTCGTTTTCTTTATTGCGCCGTGTCGCGTTGCGGTTCAGTTAGATCGAATTCAATTGTCGTCATTGTCAACATCAGTTGGCTTCTCTAATAGTTATTTATCTTTCAATTTCTTTCTTTTTTTTTCATTTCCACCATCTTCCGGGACTGTCCCGGTTCTGTTTCACCGCTCGTTTCCATCGCGTGCGTTATTTTTCGCCGGCACTCACGGAATCCATTACACTCCTCCACCAAATTTTAATGAATCGGCCGACATTATCAGATTACTGACGTTCACCCATATTTTTTACATAGTTTAAGGCTGTGGTATTAATTTTCTTTCTATTTTTGTTTCCTCACCGTTTGTTCCGTGTCTTCCTCCCCTGCGCCAGTTTTTATCCCACTCGCAGTATTTTAGTCCTCAAGATGACCGTCTGCTTCACCTCTTGCAACTCCTGTCTTCTCAGCCTGCCTTCAATGATCACCTCTTCTTTTTGCTTCGTTTTCTTTTTTTGCGTGGGCCCGTGCTCTCGCCGCCGCGGAGCTACCTTGGTCGTTCCCCCCCCGCCCCCTTCGCGATGTTCCTTTTCCACGCTGTTGGGTTCTTCCCTCCCGTGCGATACCCATCCACTCGGCGACGAACAGCGCCCATCTCGGGCTTCTGTGCGTTGCCTCCGATTCCACTCGCCGCCCCTTTC